AGTCCTACAAGGCTCCAAAAAAATCAAAAGAAGTAGGATTTTCTTTGCCTCTAGAGCTTACTTCCCTAACTTCTCTCCAACCTTTCTCAATATATGAATTTATGAGGTTTGCGTTTTAAAAAAAAAAAACCTTATATACTATTTCATAAACTTGATCATTATGATCCAAACTAAACTACCTTAAGACAATATATAACTCTCAAAGAACCTTTAACCTTAAAAGTTATAAAACATTAATGTTATGTACCATATAATTGTCCATAAATTAAAATTCACACAATGTTATATAAATAAATATTCAAATTTCAAAGGAAAAATAATGAAAAGTTATTGATAACTTACTATTTATATCATTGGTTCGAATTATCCATAATTTTGTGATAATTAATTATCAAAAAAACAAATTTAACAACAATTAATATATTTTTTTTGAATTCATAAAATTCAAATTTAAGAACTAAGACAAATCTAAATCCAACTATAAACTTGTTGGTTGAGAATATCTTATTAAAAACATGTTTCTATACACGTTTCGCTCAATAGACTCGCGTTCCAAAATATCGTTTTGTAACAAGCAACAAAATTCTTACTTTTACTTGATGGTTCCATATTGTGGATTGAGATTGAGTACAAGAGAGTGAAGAGAGAAGCTCTCACATACTAGAATGCAATTTTTTATAATGAAAGTTGTAGTATATGATTATGTACATATTAATTTATTTCCTATTACTAATAAATATTAGTTTTATATTTTTTGTTTGGGTTAAATACCTCTTTTGGTTCTTTACAATATTTTTTTGTTTCAATTTAGTTCCACTTTAATTTTAGGTCTCAATTTGGTCCCTAATAATTTAAATTGTTCCAATTTGGGACTTCCATCTAAATGATTTAAACGGAGTTAACTGGTGGCCACGTGGATGTCACGTAGGTGGATCCAAAAATATTTGAATACACCTGGAACCAGAACGACACGTTCTGGTTACACTATTGGTGTGTAAAATTTGCACATGGAACGGGTCGTTCCAAGTCCAAAATTAACACACCAACAGTGTAACTAGAACGGGCCATTCTGGTTTCAGAACGGGTCGTTCTGGTTCAGAATTTCATGCGCAAAAAAACTAAAATACAAAACATTTCAAACACTAGATTTGGTAATATTGTTAATGAGGATTAATAACTTCAATTGCTAAACATTTGGGCTATACAATATATCATTAACGATGATGCAGTGTATCACTAAGGACAATGGTAACAAGTTTTATTTCATTGTTAGTCAAACTGGAATGAACCACTTACTACCAAATTGACACTATACAGTCAAGGATAAAACGAAACAGTATTTTTCCTTGAAGTCATTGACGATGTACCCCAACAATAACAACCTGTTCTTAAGGAGGTACCCCTAAACCCTGAATTTTATTTTCAATTTTTGAAATACATTGCGACATTTTAGTCAAAATTTTGAACTGGATAAATTCAAATCAAAATTTTTTTTTGGAAGGTCTTATCTTATTTGAATTTTTTTAGTTTTATTCATAAATGAATATTAATTTATTGTATTTTTTATTTATTATATATTTATTAATATAGATATAATAAAAAAAATACAATAAAAAGCATGGCGTTCTGGAACGGGCCGTTCTGAATTCAGAACGACCCGTTATAAAAGCAGAACGACCCATTCTAAAGCAGAACGACCCCGTCTAAAAGCAGAACGGCCCGTTCTAGGTTCAGAACGGGCCATTCTGGGTTCAGAATGAGCAGTTCTGGTTTTAGAACGGGTTGTTCTGATTTCAGGTTTTTCCCAGAATTTTGGTGTCCACGTGCGCATCCACGTGACATCCACATAGATGTCACGTGGCCAACAGTTAACTCCGTCTAAATCATTTGGACAGAAGTCCCAAATTGCACTAATTTAAGTTATTGGAGACCAAATTGAGACAAAAAATTAAAGTGGGACTAAATTGAAACAAAAAAATATTGTAAAGGACCAAAAGAGGTATTTAACCTTTTGTTTGAATAATGATACATACTCGTACAAATATAACCACTAGGGTTAGCCTAATGGTTGAGTGGGGAGGGGTTAGGGTAATTAGAAGCATGAAAACCTAGGTTCAATCTTCATTGCGACCATCTTTGTAATATTTCCTATCTTTACAACAACAAAAAAACTCGTACAAATATTTTTTTATGCTTTATAAAGAAAATATTAAGTAATATTTAACATTTAAGATATAAAATTATTTTAAAAATATTCAATATTTACCATATAATAATACTATTAAATGGTATTTAATATTTAAATGTCTCTCTACATGTAAATTAGAATAATATAATATTGTGTATATGGTAAAATTAGTTTATAAACTAGTAAAAAAACTTATAAGTTATAAGATAAAAGCTGGAAGTTTATAAATTAATTAATTAAATTTAAATTATTTAATATTATTAATTGATAAGTTAGTCAATTATTGTAAAATAATATAATTATTTATTTGATAATGAGAAATAATAAGATGTACGCAAAATGATTTCTAAATTAAAGAGGGTACAAAAATATTTTAAATAAATTAATGAAAATAAAAAAAACTAAGAGCTTATAAGCTACTTGCCCGTTAAATACACACATTTTTTATTTTTAAATATAAATAAATTTTTACTATTTTTTTAATCTTATTTAATGATATTTTTTATTTAATACATGAACTTTTTGTTGCACTATTCTTTTTTATTACAATAAGGATAATTTAAAAAAAAATATTATAAAAATAATGAAATTTAATATAGATAACTAATTTTTTTAATATGTGTAAAATTAATTTATTTTCTTATACTACCTCCATTTTTTTAACTGTCATTTAAGGTTGTTATACATAAACCAAAAAACATAATAAAATTTCTATTTTTCATACAATGATTTTGATGTTTCCTAGTATATGCTCATTTATTTTTGTTTAGTAATAAATACATATTAGTTAAAAGTTAAGTAAGGTGTAAGTGTATAATTGCCAAAACAATAAGTAATGTAGTCTTGAATTTTGAAAATGACATATAAATAGAAACAAATTTTTCCTAAAAAATCAACAATTAAAAAGGAGTGAAGGTAGTAATAGAGAATAAAGAGAATATTATTTTTCTTTCTATTATAAGACTTAAGAAAAACATTAATAACATATTCTCTAACACACTTTTGTAAAGACACTAACTGTGAATGATCAAAAATTTTAAAAAACATAAAATTTGATGGGTTTCACATCTTATATAATAATTTGCTTATGATTTTGTAGTTTTCAATAAAATATAATCAATGAGAGTAAGTGTGTTAAGAGAAATATGTTACTAGCATCATGAGGACCCAAATACTTAATTTATCAAGATTAAGAAAAATAATTTATCTAATTGATAACAATAAATTTATTTTATTTATATATATTTTTTAAAGCTACTCTTGCTTACTCTTATAACCAATAGTAATGCATGTCTTTTAAAGAGTTTAATTAATGTATTCTATCAAATTAAAAGAACATGAACTTGTCTTGATACAAACTTATAAGTGTTTTTAAAAACTTCTTTATTGAAAAGTACTCTTTTTGAGAACTCTAAAAAATATTTATTACTTGTATTTAAATAGACTTTATGTTTTAATTAGGAGTATCTTAATATGAAAATAATTAATATATAAAATACTATGAACTAAGTTTTATATAAAGAAATAAATAATTGTTCTAAATTAAATTTTATAAATAGAAACGAAGATAAACTACTTCAATTAACTTTACTTCAATTAACTTAAGAAAATTACCTATAAATTTCTAAAATAAACTTTATTATCAAATAAGTTTATTTTTGGAAAACTAGTTTATAAGTTAGTGAAAGAAAGTCCCTTAAATATCTTTTTCAAACAAACTCAACAAGCTCTTTATACTAAAGAGTTTATAAGAATTATTTTTTCACAATAACTTGTTTAACTTTTTTCAACTAGAATATTTTTACATTATTTTTTTTCTCAATTTTTCACTTTTTTAATTTACCTTTTTTTATTATATATATTTTAATTTTCATTAAATTTTGATTTTAAATTATCAATAATAAAAAATATCTATATATTACAATATAGATCATTTATAATAAATTTAAAATATAATTTATATAT